GTGTGTGTGTGTGTGTGTGTGTGTGTGTGTGTGTGTGTGTGTGTGTGTGTGTGTGTGTGTGTGTGTGTGTGTGTGTGTGTGTGTGTGTGTGTGTGTGTGTGTGTGTGTGTGTGTGTGTGTGTGTGTGTGTGTGTGTGTGTGTGTGTGTGTGTGTGTGTGTGTGTGTGTGTGTGTGTGTGTGTGTGTGTGTGTGTGTGTGTGTGTGTGTGTGTGTGTGTGTGTGTGTGTGTGTGTGTGTGTGTGTGTGTGTGTGTGTGTGTGTGTGTGTGTGTGTGTGTGTGTGTGTGTGTGTGTGTGTGTGTGTGTGTGTGTGTGTGTGTGTGTGTGTGTGTGTGTGTGTGTGTGTGTGTGTGTGTGTGTGTGTGTGTGTGTGTGTGTGTGTGTGTGTGTGTGTGTGTGTGTGTGTGTGTGTGTGTGTGTGTGTGTGTGTGTGTGTGTGTGTGTGTGTGTGTGTGTGTGTGTGTGTGTGTGTGTGTGTGTGTGTGTGTGTGTGTGTGTGTGTGTGTGTGTGTGTGTGTGTGTGTGTGTGTGTGTGTGTGTGTGTGTGTGTGTGTGTGTGTGTGTGTGTGTGTGTGTGTGTGTGTGTGTGTGTGTGTGTGTGTGTGTGTGTGTGTGTGTGTGTGTGTGTGTGTGTGTGTGTGTGTGTGTGTGTGTGTGTGTGTGTGTGTGTGTGTGTGTGTGTGTGTGTGTGTGTGTGTGTGTGTGTGTGTGTGTGTGTGTGTGTGTGTGTGTGTGTGTGTGTGTGTGTGTGTGTGTGTGTGTGTGTGTGTGTGTGTGTGTGTGTGTGTGTGTGTGTGTGTGTGTGTGTGTGTGTGTGTGTGTGTGTGTGTGTGTGTGTGTGTGTGTGTGTGTGTGTGTGTGTGTGTGTGTGTGTGTGTGTGTGTGTGTGTGTGTGTGTGTGTGTGTGTGTGTGTGTGTGTGTGTGTGTGTGTGTGTGTGTGTGTGTGTGTGTGTGTGTGTGTGTGTGTGTGTGTGTGTGTGTGTGTGTGTGTGTGTGTGTGTGTGTGTGTGTGTGTGTGTGTGTGTGTGTGTGTGTGTGTGTGTGTGTGTGTGTGTGTGTGTGTGTGTGTGTGTGTGTGTGTGTGTGTGTGTGTGTGTGTGTGTGTGTGTGTGTGTGTGTGTGTGTGGATAATCATAACCATACAGTAATATTAATAGCATTACAGATAGTAATTACTAAGATAATAATGACAATAATGTTGATGGTACCAGTAATTGAAATCACAATGATAACAATGTTGATAATGATAACAATAAAACAATTGAAATGAAAACAGCCTAGAACAAGCTATCCTCAGTAACATGAATCTCCCAAATACCAGTTTATTAACCACAGAGATACTTTCCTTCTAACCACAGCTTTCCCAATATCATTTCACACAATGTACTATTTCCAACCAAAACATACCCTAACATCTCATAATCTATTGTTTTCTGCTGATTATACCACAAATAGACAGATAGAGAAATAGATATTTAGATAGACAGAATTATCATTATTACAATTATTATCGAGAACATGCATTTAATAGGCTGGTTAGTGTTTATGAGGACTGGCCGGTTAGTGGAGACTGTCGGTTAATGATAACTTACGGGTTAGTGATGACTGACAGGTTAGTGATGACTTTTATTAGTGATGTCTGACAGGTTAGTTATGACTGACAGGTTAGTGATGACTTTTATTAGTGATGTCTGACAGGTTAGTTATGACTGACAGGTTAGTGATGACCGACAGGTTAGTGATGACTGACAGGTTAGTGATGACTTACGGGTTAGTGATGACTGACAGGTTAGTGATGACTGACAGGTTAGTGATAACTGACAGGTTAGTGATGACTGACAGGTTAGTGATGACTGACAGGTTAGTGATGATTTACGGGTTAGTGATGACTGACAGGTTAGTGATGACTGACGGGTTAGTGATGACTTTTATTAGTGATGTCTGACAGGTTAGTGATGACTGACAGGTTAGTGATGACTGACAGGTTAGTGATGACTTACGGGTTAGTGATGACTGACAGGTTAGTCAGTCAGTCATTGATAATCTCTTACGAGCATCTTCACCTCACAATAAATAAATATATAAATAACTGAATTATTAGATGAATAAATAGGTTATAAACAACCAGGCCATAAATATTCATCGCAGTCAATTGCATAGTCCTGGTGACCAAGCCATTAAAAAGGAAACCAGTAATAAAAAAGAAGAGGAATATAAGAACAAGAACAGGATGAGGAGCACGAACAAGAAAGGAAAGGCACCACCACATCAACAAAAACAACTCCTACAACTGTACTTCTACAGCAACAGCTAATACTGCTACAGTAACTACAGCTACAACAACTACAGCAAGAACAACTACAATTACTGTTACAACGATAACATCCACCGCCGCCTAAGTAACCAATCAACAACAGCAAGATCCTAAAAGGGGAAGCTGCTGTACGATAACTACCACAATACTTATTATAAAATGACGCCATGGACGCCTGGACCCACTTTGGCCGAGGCAAGCGGGGCGCGACCCGAGATATTGTCGCCGCCGTTTGAGTTTTAGAGAAAAGATTTAATATGAGGTAAGGCCGTTTTTCCTCTCAGTCTCTATATTTTTCTCTGGCTTTCTTGTGTCTCTCTCTCTCTCTCTCTCTCTCTCTCTCTCTCTCTCTCTCTCTCTCTCTCTCTCTCTCTCTCTCTCTCTCTCTCTCTCTCTCTCTCTCTTTCTCTCTCTCTCTCATTTCCTCACATTCATTCAAGCAGTCACGTTATTTGGTTATTTGTAATATAAATCTGTCATAAAAGTAACGGAAAGATCAGCTGTAGCATGTCACTTTACCTGCTTCACCATGATCATTACTTATATTATTATTTATTCTTTATGAGTATCACCCTCTTTTTATGACAAGGTTTATCTTAATGGAAATTAATTACGTCTTTCCAGATTCACACGTCCTTATGCGGGTACCTTGGCAGTGGTGCTCGTTGCTGTACTGCCTCTCGTAGGTAAGAAAATACTTGATTGTTTATTTTATTATCAATATCTCTTTGTTTGTTTGTTTGATCATTTTCTTTTTAAATCTTTGGGTTAGGGTGTTATAATCAAATAGTTTTGTGTTGTAACTAGCAGTGTGATTATTCATTAGTCAAATCATAATAATCAGCATTATCAGACCATCTGAAATCAATATCAAAGAATCACTGTCGTCCTCAGAGCTGTGATAACCAAATGCACCCTGAACATGGAACATCATTATACATCTCAGCTCATTTATCCAGCAGCTTCCAATAACACAAACACCTCCGCAAATCTGGGCAGTGAAGGCTCGGTGACGGTGTCAGTCAGGAAAGAAGGTGAGGTCGCTGGCCTTCTGCTCTTCTTTGGCGAAGGTCAAGAGGTCACGATCAACGGAGAAGAACCTGAAACAAAATGCATCAGGATTAGTAATCAGCGGGAGATTGAGGTCCGCGTCATACAGGACGGGGTTCCTCAAGGGGAGCGCAAGAACCCCCAAGAACAACAGGATGCGGCTGGGACCAAGCGTGAGGTTATTGCGCACATAGAGCTCAAGTGAGTAAGAAATGCAATGAAACTTGAAGGAAAATGTTATCTTAACCTATAACTAATATTGATGATAATCCACAAAAGTAGTAAAAGAATACAGTAAATATATGAACATAATACAACTATACCTTAAGGTTATATGTAGGAAGATGAAGTACTCAATTTAAGCAAGAATGAAAATTTTACAGTAATACACAAAAGGATCGCCATTCAGAGTTAGGGCATAAGATTTACCCTGGTATTTATGCAGGAGAGAGAGAGAGAGTGTACACACATGCATGTATGCATATATATTTGTATATATATACATATATATTTATACACACATACGTAATGAGACAGATGTGTATATATGAAATACTGTACCCACTATATATGTGTATATGTATATCATATATTATATATATATATATATATATATATATATATATATATATATATATATACACACACACATACACACACATACACATATATGTGTGTATCTGTGTGTGTTTATGTACGCAGACACAAGTGCAAGATGGTAACAGCTCTTGATATATTCTTGGTTCTCTTTATCCCAGGAACTGCCTGGAGGTGCTGAATGAGGGCCATAACAAGAGCGGCGTGTACACCATCTCGCCTTACAAGCTCTGCCCCGAGCACCAGGTGGACGTCTACTGCGACATGGACACGGACGGCGGAGGATGGACGGTCATCCAGAACAGAGACCTATCGCAGGGGAATTTTTTCCGGCCGTGGGTAGACTACGTCAACGGCTTTGGAGACCTCTCTCAGGATTTCTGGCTCGGCATCAAGCACATCCACGCCCTCACGAGCCAGTCCCCCTACGAGGTGCGCTTGGACATGACCGATTTCGACGACAACACTCGATTCGCGACCTACGACGGCTTCTCCCTCAGCGACGAGGCTCACCGATACGACATCAGCTTTGGCGAGTACTCGGGGGGGACCAACCCCGGCCCGGACATCGAAAACTGTGCGATCTTGTAAGTGCGTCATGACCTGAAGTTTTCATTTGTAAGGGTTACGGTAAGAAATATTCATAAAATGATTAGTATATATTTGTAAAGCTTAGTATATTTATCTATTTATATTCATATTTATATTTATATCTATACCTCTCTTTATATATATATTTATGTGTGTGTCTGCGTGGGTGTATGCATGTGTGTGTAAATATAAATATATACATATATATACATATATATATATAATATATATATATATATACATAATATATATATATATATATATATATATATATATATATATATATCAAGTATAGATAGTTCAGAATTGAACACCTGTGGGCAATGGCCCATATGTCTCTTGTGACACGCACAATGTAGCAGTTATGTTGCTGAAGTTCCAGCAACTGTCGCCAAGTCGCAGGATCCTTCCCGCTGTTCCGAGTGTTCCTTAGAGACCTTCATCACTGAATGGAGAGGTACTAAGGTAGTTTCCCCGTGCTTTCTTCAGTAGCATTGTTTATACTAGGCGGGTGATCTTGACCACTGACCATGACGTGGTTCAACCTGTGAGTGCACTTTCTACTCTCGCTTGAAATCACATCCACCACCTGCTTACCGCGGTTTCACATATCCCAGATCGGGTTACCTGTAGGCAATCAAGGTAAAGTTCCTTGCCCAGGGGAACAGCCTGGTCGGTGATTCGAACTCAGGTTGTCTTTGAGTTCGAAGCTCTAACCACTCAGGCACAGCGGTCTTATGTATGTGTGTGTTTGTAAGTGTGTGTGTGTGTGTACACACGCATAAATACATATAATGAAAGAGATTGAAATATAGATTTATAGATGAATAGATAGATATGTGTATATGTATATATTTAATATATAAATACATACATACATTCATGTATATATATATATACATAGATGTGTGTGCGTGTGTTCGTATACTTACATATATATACATATATACATGTATATGTGTGTGTTTGCATATATATATATATATATATATATATATATATATATGTATATATTTGTGTGTGTGTGTGTATGATGTTACATCAATCCATTCCCATTGAGTATCTCGGTATTCGCCCTGCAGGTGGGAGAGCGTGTGGTGGTTCCGGAGCTGCTACACCGTGAACATCGAGGACGAGGACCAGGAGGGCCCAAACAGCAAGAAGTGGCTGGAAGTCATGTGGGGCTACTGGCGAGGCTACAACTACCCCCCGAAAAAGAGCGAAATAAAGATCAGGCCCAAGACATAGGCAGCGACTGAGCTATGGGGCTTTCTTTGGGGGAAGCACGCGAAAAGTGCTGTTGTCTTTTGAATTATTAAAGGAAGAGGGATATAGGAATAGCTAGGAATGATGCATACTGGGGGAAAATTGCCTAAAGGAGGGGAAGGCAGATTAGGATCTTTATTAAACCAGCGGGATGAAGGGTGTGTATGCTGAATAATGTGCTCATGTACATTATTCATATACATATATATACACGCGTGTATATATGTATATGGATATATATATATGTGTGTGTGTGTGTGTGTGTGTGTGTGTGTGTGCGTGCGTGCGTGCGTGCGTGCGTGCGTGCGTGCATACATACATGGATATATATATATATATATATATATATATATATATATATATATATATATATCTGTGTGTGTGTGTATATATATATATACATACATATATATTTATATATACATATATATGTATAGATACATATATATATATCTATATCTATCTATCTATCTATCTATATATAAATATATATATATATATATATATATATATATATATATATATATATATATATATGCATGTATTCATATACATATACATATATATACATATAAATACACACACATATACACATGTATATATACATATATATACCTATATATAGGCGTATATAATGCACATATATATAAATATATATATATATATATATATATATATATATATATATATATATGTTTGTATGCATGTATGTATGAATGTCTGAATGTACGTATGTGTGCCGTGTGTGTGTCCTCTCCATACAAGAGCAGTTCTTGTTTTCGTACTGTATACTACATGTTCTTAACCCATTGCCGGCGGGGAAAATGAACAAAAAATGGGGGAAATGCAGTACTCATTTTTTATATTTTTGTGAAATATCTGTCCATAGATGGCTCTGCTAGTCCTGATTTCACCTTTCCTTGAATTGGCGGGAAAAAACGTATTTTTACAATAAATATAGAAGGTGTTATTTTTAACAGCAAATTAGGATAACGTTCAATATTTTTGTAAATCGATGAAAAGGGTGAACGGGCGAGACAGGTAGTACTCGTAATTGGCTCATTGGATACTTAGTACAAGTGTAACCATCTATGATTAAAAACAATCGAACAAGTCGACTCACAGTGGGCATGGCATGTACGTACATGCCATCCCCGGCGGCAATGGGTTAATTCATTATAGAATTCTTGCTTTAACCTCTGATTTCTAGTACCTGATGTCCCATAGTTTTATTGAATTATGATTAATCACTCTTTCGTATATTAGTTATGTAAGTTCTGTTATTGAGTTTTTCACATGCTATTTCATGATTCATTCATAAATAAATGTGAAAGCGGCGCCTTGTTTTCTATTGTGCTCAAGTGCAAACCAAAGGCCAGGGCCTGGCTGGTGTTGTTCGCGAAGTGGCGACGGAAGATCCTTCGGTCAGGACTCAGGTCATCTTGTTTTTCCTCGAGGGCGCCACCGTCGATACAGCCTCAGGGGGACACACACTGCATGGAATTGTCGCAACGGACGCCATTTTTTGAAGCCAGGGATATGTACACAATTATGATTGTATACCCGAAATACCGTTCGGCCACCTATGCACGACTCACCCTCGAGGCGCTACTGGTTGCTCCTCAATGGGTGATCATCTCTGTCTAGCCCTGTTTGGCTATCTCGTTCTTGCGGTGGCCCTCAGGTACGTGTTTAGGCGTCATATCATTTCGAGCGCAGTCGAACCATCCTCCTAGTTGTTCTTTCTTGTCGTCTCCTTCTTCCTGGTCCTTGTTAACATCTTTATGTCCTAGACGTCAGCACGTCATCGTAGTCCTCGTCCAGGTTGTCGACGACGTCACATCCGTCTAGACCTCTTTGTATTCTTCGTCCAGGTCCTTTTCGCCCAGATACTTTTCCAGACGTCCCCGTAGTCTGCTGCAGCGGCCGCCGTGTTGGATATGCTAGGTTCGACCGTAATGTTAAAAATAAAGAGGGAATAGAAAGAGAAACGCAAGCAGCGATCCGCATGGCCGAGATAATTCACAGATAGATTTGAGAGTAGATATGGTAGACAGTAACAGTAATCCACAAGGATTTATTTGAACTGCTAGTCATCTCACACAGGCAGACAGGAAAACAACAATAAGAAAAATAAGAAGTTTAGTGCATCTAGTGTTATTCACATGTCACGACTGGGAAAACTGTGGGCAAATTTGAAATTATAACCGTACATTTACTGTAATTATATTACCAGTCAATACACATACAACAACGATAACAAACAAGCCCTATTAATGAAAAGTCGCAATGTCTTTAAGTCTGCATAGATGAGTCAGTAAGAAGATTCACAAACACGGAGATTAAAGTTCATACTAAAAATGCGATAACTAGCAAATTACATTACAACACATTTATTTCTTCTACAATGTTAAACTCAACATATAATGACGCGCAGTGTAATGTACGCATTAGTGAACGATGACATGAAAAACTTCCTCGCAAGCTTTTCTGCCATGCAAAGCCTTTTGACTCCGAAATGTACCGCGCAATCAGCGATTATATTGAATCTCTATCTCGGATACAAAATCCTGATACACCAAGGTAACCACGACTAGACTATATACAATTTCAACGGGGATCCCGATACCTATGTTACCGGGGTAATAATAATAATAACAATTAATGATAATACTCTGAATACTCTTGCAACAGTGGCCGCTAATGTGTGTATATTACAAAAATCACACGAATAGCATGGATTCATCGTGTCGTACACATTTATATTTGCATGCCTAAAGAGTTTTCCAAAGATTATGATAAAATCAATCAAAAATAACGCAAACATCCTTCACCATTAGACATGCACAAACAAAAACAGGAAAGACCCTTAGCTCCTGGAGCCTGTGATAATGTTAATGATTTAGTTGACTGACGTGAACCAATTTTACGACATTAGTATATGAATGCACACATTACTTAGTGTGTGGGTTTGATTTTTATTCTGTGAATGTATATACAGTATATAATTCTTTTCGTTAAGTCTTTATGACGTTACCGCACATCAGTGGGATAATGCATTCATTGTATGAGAAAAAATAATGATGATCAACATATATGTAAACCCATTAACAGACAGGCAATTTGGAGCGGGACTTATATGAGCGAGATGGCTCTCAAATCGTCGAACGCAGCCGTTATTACCATCGGGACGGAAGTGGAGTACATTTTAAGAGACACACACACACACACACGTCACTTCAACCCAGTTCGGGTGAGATGCTTACACGACCGCCAGTTAAACCCCCAGCACCTGAGAAAAGTACCAGTCTGCGCGATTGTGCTCCCAAAGTGATGGGAACCTTTTGTTTACAGGCTTTGATACGTTTCTAGATATCTCACTTCAAATTGTGGCTCTAAATTTTCCAGCGAATCTCATAGACTTAATTACATAATTACATAATTATACTATAATGAAATAAACGCGCTATTTTTCACCTCATTTCAACTACACCTAGCACCCCTGTTACAAAATACATATTTAGAAACAAAAAACTTTATGAGTTCAGGAATCTTTAGTACTAAATATTCAGCACGAATTGTCTCATTCGTATGCAGTATATTTAAGTTTAATTTCACGAGTCACAGACAGACATTAAATTAATTCCATAAGAAGAATAAAGGTTATTTTCTAGTACATGATTTTTCTGTAACTATATGTGATACTGTTCTTTGACTACAGCCATAGAATGCGCCGATTAATAACAGGATTAATGCACTAACAAAGGGCCAAAGAAAATGCAGAATGATAAAAACATACAATGCGAGCATTCTATGTCAAACTTTTGAACAAATTTGTGTCGATTTCACTCATATTTGAATATACATACTACAAACGTATACGTACAAGTACGCGTACACACACATGTACACACACACACATATATATGTGTGTGTGTGTGTGTGTGTGTGTGCGTGTGTGTGTGTGTGTGTGTGTGTGTGTGTGTGTGTGTGTGTGTGTGTGTGTGTGTGTGTGTGCGCGCGTGCGCGTGCGTGCGTGTGCGTGTGTGCGTGTGTGTGTGTGTGTGTGTGTGTGTGTGTGTGTGTGTGTGTGTGTGTGTGTGTGTGTGTGTGTGTGTGTGTGTGAGGCCCGGCCCAGGTTCCCAGCTAACTTGCAGCTTAGCCTGTAGAATCATAGAAAAATATCTATCATAGACCTTATCGCTATGGTAGAATGAACAGCAATCAAAATGTTAGCTGAAATTCCCATGTGAGCCAATGGACAAAAAAAATAAAGCTACATGTCAATAAAATGAATATAAGCCTACAAAAGTATTGGAAGCCTACAAATAACGAAACGCGTATCCCACCTCTGAAAAATACATAGTTATGGTACCACTTGTCTTAGAGTAAATATTCAGAACACCGCCAAACCAATCACGACGATATATCTCACCCTACACCCTACCCAAATACTAGGACATTTGCCGCGGCAACCCCTCAAACCCTAAGCCTCGACAGCAGGGGAGGGTATACAACGTACTATAGAAATTGCGGCGTAAAATATGACTATTATATACCATATACATCATTTGAATTATAATGTGCACAGACTAAGTCACTCTGTTGCTTAAGGCATGGATTGCCCTGCCCTGGAAGATAAAGAATCCCACATGCATTCACAGCAGGATAGTGCAGGATTTTCTTTGATGTCTAGGCCGGGGGTTGAGGGCGTTACCTACCCTTCCCCCTCCCAAGAGGTATCGATATATATGTGCTCACATTACAATTACAATGTCTGAGAGAGTACGATGCTGGGTCTGCCCTGTGTTCTATTCATGGTGGATTCTACGGGGCTGGGTATTGTAGTGACTTGGGGGTCAACACTTAAAAAAATAATTAAATTAGATTAAAATTATATCTTGGAATATTTTCCCAGACAAACCTTAGGTCCAAATGTACAGCTTATACTAATAAATTCCCAACGATGTGGTACTGGGAAAAGAAACTCGTTATTTATACAACTAAATTATATATTAGATTAATAGCTAAATTAAATTCTGATAGCAAAAAGTCCTCAGTGCCTTATCCTCTTAGAGTAGCTACGATTATTATTCATAAATGAACGAAATCCTCCTTTGGGAAACAAAGCAAAAACAAGTCATAGTATCCTGACGCATCATTTAAATACTGATCATGCATTAAAACTAATGGGGAAAAATCATCTCATCTTAAAACATTCCGATATGAAGAAGGCGGCGGCCCCTCCAGTTCTTGCCTGTTC